ATGCCGATGATGTTGTAACCGAGCGCCCATACATAGTTCATCCGAATCCGAGAGAAGGTTTTTCTTGATAGATCTATAGCAGTTATAACGTCCTCTAAGTTGCTTTTCATGAGAACAATATCAGCAGCTTCGATAGCAATGTCGGTGCCGGCGCCTATTGCCATGCCTACGTCGGCGGATACAAGTGCCGGCGAGTCGTTGATTCCATCGCCAACCATGGCCACTGTTAACCCGGACATCTACAAGTAAGGCAATATGTTAATAAATTTTAAAAAAATGGGGAATTTGCATACATAGCACAATATTCTTTTTACATATCCCAAACCAAAACTTCCAAATTCAGATACATGACACTTTAGTACTTAAATCTATGCAGAAAATATTTGACTTTTAAGAAGTGATAAAAGTGCTATTTTTGATGCGATAATAAAAAGTTCATAATGACAATGCAATCAGTATAGACGGTTCAGAAATAATGACATGGATGAGAAATCTTAAGCAAAATCAAAGTACCTGAAGTTCTTTCACTTTTTCTGCCTTCTCTGCAGGCTTTGCTTGAGCAACAATGGTGGCTATCCCAACCTCTTCGGCAATGGCCTTTGCAGTGCCCCAATTGTCTCCCGTCACCATAATACTCCTCACATTCATGGATTTGAGAATGGATATGACATCTTGGGCGCCAGGTTTCAGAGGATCAGAAATTGAAATCACTCCCACGATCTCCTTGTTCATGGCCACAAGGATTCCAGTTTGGGCCACTTCTTCTGCTTCCATAAGAAGTTCTGAAGCTTGATCTGGGATTTCAATGCCAGAATTAAGCATCAAACTCTTGTTCCCCACTATGAGCTCTTTGTTTCCAATTATGGCTTTGACTCCATGACCAGTGACAGAGATGAAATTTTGTGCTTGGGGCCAAGCATAGTTTTCCTCTTCACTGAACTTCTTTGCATACTCCACAATAGCTTTAGCTAGGGGATGCTCGCTGTTTGCCTGTTTAGAATGTAATAAGTTGTCAAATAGAAATATTCTGAGAGGAATATTACAGAAGCTAGTTGAAATCTAATTAATTAATAGAGATTAAAGATATGCAGATGAATATTGCGAATGAACATCATTGGCTTATGCACAGCTATTTTGTATTTTACAATTCAATGAAAGGAAAATAAATATCCCAGAAGTTCAGATTTAGTTGAGTTTCAGTATATGAAATTATTAATAATGCAAAATTCTATACCAGGATCAACTAAATAAACGCTTTTCATACAAACCACCCAATAACACTAAACTTCAATTTTTACAATTATACCACCCAAATTTAATACATTAAAAAATACCTCCATTTTAACTTTTAAAAAATAATAAGTGAACTACACCTTTTCATGAATAGGTAAGCTGACATGCACGTAAAAAATTGAAGTTTAGGTGTTAGATATATAAATATATATGAATTTTGTGGTATGTATGCAAATCTTCCTTTAAAGTATTGTAAGGGTTAAAGAAACCAACCTCCGCAGCCGCAACATATTCATAGAAATCACGCAAGGCCATATTCTTCAAAAGCCTTGTACTTAATACAACTGGCTTCCCCGTCGTAAGAGTACCTGTCTTGTCGAAAACAATGCAGTTCACCTGCGAGAAAAAATAAATTTTCCTTGTAAATGTCCATAAAGCTTCCAAAAAGTGGACACGAGAAATTGTAAAAATTTGCGAAAAGCTTCAATATCATTGTACTGAATGATAATATGGTTGAATTCTGCTGAACACTAAGCAATGTGTTACAATTTGGAATTTTTTGTAATAAGTCATAATGTTAGTTTATTACCACGGAGCTAGTGGTAAAAGAATAACTTCTTGCTTGCATTACACTCGAGTTTATAGAAATATTGTTCGAAAGTAACTAAAAACTTAATAGAGTTATAATGAACTCCACTATAGCATGCATTGCCTGCCCAAATACACAACCTACTCCCTAACCGCATCCTAAACTTCATTTCCAATTTTAAATTTTCATCCTTCCATAACTGCCCAAATACACAACCTACTCCCTAACCGCATCCTAAACTTCATTTTCAATTTTAAATTTTCATCCTTCCATACGATCGCATAACTACAATACAATAGATGGATAACAAATTAGTCAGGAGAATAAATTACCGACCATAAACAAGCCAATTTTAGCAAGTTTAGGCAAACAATTTTGGGGGAATCTTAATGAGCAATTTTCACAGAGTACGAGTCTTAAGCAATGAAGATTGCCTCCAATGTGGTCTAGAAGAATAAAAAAAGGTGCATTTACATACCACTTAACTCTTAATTTATGTATATATCTAACACCTAAATTTTGCTTTATTAGATTTACACTGCCCAATTCTTTCTACACTGCCCAATTCCTTTCATTTCACATAAAAAATACCACCATTTTAACTTTTGAAAAGTGAAATACATCTTTTCTGCATAGGTAAGGTGGTATGTATGTACAAATTAAGTTTAGGAGTTAGATAACTAAATACATGGAATTGAGTGGCATGTATGTAGCGTCTATGAAACGAAGGGATAAATAAAGCTAACATATATCAAGCACGCATTGGCAGAAGCATCAAGCAGGGAATTAAATTGACTTGATAAATGATTCAATTCAAGAAATTACAAATTACATACCTTATGAGCACTCTCAAGAGCTTGACCTCCTTTTATCAACACACCCTGAGAAGCACCAACTCCAGTGCCCACCATAACAGCAGTGGGAGTTGCCAAGCCAAGTGCACATGGACATGCGATCACCATCACTGATATGCCAAATTGAAGGGCAAGCTGAAAGCTATCCATAGAAGATGGAATCCAAGATTTTGGATAACCATTGTATTTTCCCACTAGAAACCAAGTTAGCCAAGTTAAGAGCGAGAGAAGAATGACCTACAAATAAAACAAAGAAAGAAAATTTTTGAGCATACAAAAATTTTAAAAATTTAGGCTATTAAGTTCTTAAAAATGGATCCTAAGTATCAATCTACTAAAAGAATAAAATGGATCAGGATTATAGGTGTATCCAAATATAGGAAAAGAAACATATAACTTGAGGCATAGTATAGTATATGCATAAGAGACTGCATATAAAACCGCCTAATGTTGGTTCCATGAGCCAAATGGCATTTAGAATGTCATATAAAATGTCATGAATCAATAGTATATTTCGCCCACATTCCATTACGAATGATAGCATAGAAAATGCTTTTAATTAGATAAAATGGAACATGCAGTTGATTGATCTCATGTGCTTTATTGCTTCGAGAGAAATTTAAGAATTGTAATTCCTACTCCGCATGATTAAATTAGTGCTTTGAGTCCTGCAGTGGTTCCACATGATTAAGTTCTTGTTGAGTAATACTTGATGATGTTAAAAAGTGTTGAACCTCACATATACTTCACAAGATGATTCGATTGAAAATGGCGAAAGCAACAAACAAAGAACGCGACATTGCACGATCAAATGTGAGATGCTTCGATGTTCGTCAAAAGTGAACCAAATGATGTGTGATTGCAAATCGAATTCCGTCGTTGTGTTCATAACATCAAAATTGCATAAAGAAAAGTCTTCCATGATCGAAAAGAGAGCATGGTGAAAATGGCAGGCTGGCAGTGCAAAGCGCGTAAAATCATCTCAATCATCGAAGAGGTTATTAAAAAAAGATCTCTGATTGTAAAACGAACCCCGCAAGCTGGTCTGAAATATCAAAATTGTTTAAAGAAGAGTCTCCTATGATAAAAGAGAAAGTATGGTGAAATCGACATGATATTGGTGCGACACATGTAATTCGGGCTCAGATAATCTCGATCAAAAACAAGGCTATCAAAACGACCTTCAATCGCAAAACGAACCGCGCAAGCGTGTCTGAGATGTCGATTTTGCATTTGGGCGACATCCATATTGGCAGGTCTTACTAAATGAATAATCGAAACAAATTGGAATATTTGAATGTAAAATATTTAAAAATATATATTAAAATGCCGATTTGAAATGAGAGTGAGAAAAAAAAATTGCTAATGAAATTATAATCTCCCCTCCCTCTTTCTCTTGTAAAGGGGAAGCCACCGCCTAATCTCCCAGCTTACATGTGGCCTTCGCCTCAGCTTTGACCAATCAAGTTTTGTCATTTCAAATATATATCTATATATATATATATATATATATATAAAATAATAAAATAGAAAAAAAAATGTTAAATCAAAAGCTTAAATCTAAAAAAAAATGTTAAAGCAATACAATGAGTTATTTAAAGATAATCAGAAACAATCACACTTCTAAACTATGTAACCCAAGAAAATTGAATTAAAAAAAAGATAATAAAAAAAATGATGATCATATATATATATATATATATATATATATAAAATAATAAAATAGAAAAAAAAATGTTAAATCAAAAGCTTAAATCTAAAAAAAAATGTTAAAGCAATACAATGAGTTATTTAAAGATAATCAGAAACAATCACACTTCTAAACTATGTAACCCAAGAAAAAGAATTTAATATGCATGTTGGTTTTTTATATTTCTATAAGAAATCCTCTACTTTATTAGTTTTTCATATGAAATCTTTGAATATACTAATGCATGCACTAATGACATTTTCTAAATAAAAATACTCTAAATTTTTATATGCATTAATTTTAAATTTATTTTTACTTTATATTTTTATATACACATTTGCCTATGTGAGGATCACCGTCAACATACCTAACACATCCTTCGTCGATATTGCCCCTTCGGCTCCCGTCAGCACAGCGGTTAGCGATTTATACATTGTCATTGCCTAGGGTGAAAAGGCCCTTACCTGCCCCTGCCCCGTCGGCACAACAATTAGTGAATTAACTATCACAATTATTTGATATTGTAAAAAAACTCTATGCGCGCAGGTACAGTAACGTCCCCTGCCTGTATCATTAGGGAGTGAACTCCTCTGAGCATGCGCATACAAACATTCATATATAAATTATTTCATTCTTCAATAACATGCATTCTTTTCCATGAAACATTTACCTTTACCTGTCGATGAACTAATGCAAAATTAATATATCTATAAGTCATGGAATCAACAAATATATGCACATTTACTAAAATTCTAGAAGTTAAATAATAATGTGCATATATATGATGTGATCATGCGATAAGCTTATACGTAGATCTCTACTAAAGTGATATGTAGACCTCTGTTAAAATTTTGCAATGATCTGATATCATGCTAAACTTATGCAGCTTATATGTAGACTTCTACTAGAGTCATATGTAGACCTCTACTAAAGCTATGCAATGATCTGATATCATCCCAATTAAATTGTTATGAGCATATATGTTAAAGACCTCTACCAAAATTATGCAATGATCTGATATCATCTCAAACTAAATTGTTATGCAGTTTTTATGTAGACCCCTCCTAAAGTCATATGTAGACTTCTACCAAAGTTATGTAATGATCTGATATCATTCTAAACAAAACAGTTAAGAACTATATTCAACATGCACATCTATCTTGTCTGATAAGATAAAGAATTTATTGTTGAACAAGGGAATAGATAAAATCAAATATGTAAATTGAAATATAAATAGTTACTGTTATTTAAAAATATAATTACTCACCTCAATTATTAGGAGACATTTTTATTAGTTTAATTCTCCACTTAACATGCTTGTTATTCTCCTCGACCTCAATTGACTTAATTTCATATTAACATAATGAATATATATAATTTAATGTATATACAATCCTAATAAACAAATCTACCGCAAAAGTATACCTTAACTAGAAAAATAGGGTTTCGATAGGCTTCAGTTCTCCGCTTCACGCCCAATATTCTTCCTCTTCTCTCGTACTGGAATTCGCATCATAATGCTCCCTCAAATTCAGGATGTAATAGCTTTGATCCTAATAAAAATCAAACTTTCTTAACATTAATTTACTATACATACATATATAATTTTCTTAGTTAACATAATTAAAATCTTAACTTACCTAATATAACCTTCAATTAACCCTAAAGCTTGAATGAGCTTCATCCCGCATGCTAGCATCGCCTCCCGTTCCCGCACGCGCGTCTTCATCTTCTCCTTCGATCTCGCTCGACAAGGATTCGACTCTTTCGTGGTGACAATGTCTCACAAAGTAGCAAGGGCTCGTCTTTAATGCCTCAATACTGATCACCTTCAAAGCTTCCGGGTATGTGAAGCACTGGACTCTTCTTCCTCCTCGCTCGAAGACAGCGCATCCTACTCCTTCGCACGACACCAGCGTACGAAGCCGCAACTTCATCATTTTCGGTTGCAGCTCGATCCAGGTAAGCCTTTGGTGTCACCTCCTCCTTTCATTCCTTCTCTTCCTCTGATTTGTGGCTCAACGTAGTACCACAAGCACAACAACGAGGCACGTTTCAACAACTCTAAGCAACTCACAACAAACAGCGACATCGACTTCTCCCTTCTTCTTCTTCTTCTTATTCACTGTCGTGACTTCCTTCTCCACGGGATGCAATTCTCCACAATCTGGCTCTCGCACTCTCTCGATTTTGGTTTGTTCAAAAGAACATACAACTCTTTAAGTCCTAAATGAAAATATGTTTCTGTTCAAAACAACTCGTCCAATACTAATTTTATATTTAATTAATCTTTATTATTATTATTATTATTATTATTATTATTATTATTATTATTTAAAATTTTAGTTATTACATGTAGATATGACACTATCTAGAGATTTCGCTCTCATTTTGTCATGACTTTTTGATCTTGGGTTCAAGGTTTCCCGTATGCGCAAGCCCCTATGGTTAATTATCCCTCTCTATAACAGGAGAGTGTTATCGATTAAGGTTAGTCATTAAGCATTGAATATTCAACATACAATAGTAACAAACTTAGGATTTATGTTTTAAAATTCATTACTTGAAGCTTAAAGTGGATGGTGGGGGAATGAAGAAAAGCTCGATCAAGATCTCATAGTTTCGTTATCCCGGGTCGTCATGATCTCTGATCTACTTAATCAGAGGAAGTGGTCGACCCAACTTAACTTAAGAATCCTTATCAGAAGTCATGAGTTGCGTCGACCAAGATATCCTTAGAGATCCGAGGTGGATGTTTGTCTAAGGAGACAAACTTACATCGACCATAGCTAATAAAAGGTTTTGTGACAATCAATTGCACCCTTATGATTTTCAACTCAAATGGCATAAAGTCATTAAAGAACATACGAGTTGCAGCTGTAACCGCAATATAATAGTGTCATTTGACAGCAACCACTCAATTAGAGGATTATGGTCGTAACCGCTAGTTTGTCGAGACTTTGAGCCAAAGCACACGTACATAGTACTCAGATCGTGTCTTACTACCATGTAATTACTTTGATTGTGAATACAGAGGTGTATTTGGTATAACATTCACTATTTGTGCATTGAAGTCCATCAAAATTTGTCACTCTCGACAAACAGTTGCGGAGGGAAAATAAGCTTTATTTTTAGCTCATAAGTGAATAAATTTTACTTTATATATTAGTTGATTATTTTAAAAAGCTTGATTTTAAAGATTAACCCCTCGGATTGAAGTCTTCAGTCAGCACAGCCACCATTGTGGAGGTAAAAAATTTAAATATTTATATTTAAAGGGGGCAGTTACTTTCATCGTTTTAAGGTATAAGTCATGTCGAATCTTGTCTTTACAAGGAGGAGAATCGGACTAGTTAATTTGAACTTGTAAATTATTATCTTTAGGATTTGGACGTTTATTACAAAATTACCAAGCTCTTCAAACTTCAGTCCTTACGAGTAGGAAGATCAGACTAGTTGGGTGGGACTTACAACACTATCCTATAAATAAGGCGACTTGATTAGTCCACGCAGCATTCACGAACATAGTATTTGAGCATCTAATACATAGGTTAGAACACATGTGGCCCTTTATATTTCATATGTTTGAGGCATCTCAGCAAGAACCTTAAGAAACTTTAAATGATTTCAAAAATGGATTGAATTAAAGATTAAATAACATCTTTAAGACGTGAAATTACATAAAATTGTCTCATCTAAATATGTTTACATTAATCCATATATATTCACTTTGATCTTTTGAATCGTCTTCTATTCGCTAACAAACATATTGTGAATCTGATGGTGGTGATTTAAAATCAAACTTAGCTCTTCAGTTCGGGATATTTGAATTTCAATTTAAGCTTAGCCTTGTGAATTTTGGTACTTCGATTTTAAATTAGGCTAAGCCCCAAATATATTAAGTTATTTTTTAAAAGTATAAATATTTAATGTTTACGTCAATTCAAATGATCCAAACTTAAGCATTTGGATTTGAAAATTCCAAAATTTTGGATTAATTGTAAACCCTAATCTCTTAATTTTGAAGGCTCAACTTTGGGTTAACTTAATCGTCGAGACTTTAAATTTAAAAGTTTCCCATTGACTTTAATTTTAAACTTTAGAATTTTAAATTTTAAACTCCCAGAAATTGATATGATCTTTAAAAGCCCGAAGAGCCCAAAATTTTAAAACTTTAGTATTTTGAATACTTTTAAGCTTAAGGAGCATAAAAATTTTAAAATCTCAAAATTTTCAAACTTATTTTAAAATTCAAATGATTCATTTTATAAGTTTGAAAATCCAGTTGTAAAGTAGCTTAGAAGTCGAAATCACCCAAAAAACAGGGAGCATCCCAACGTCAACCCTTGTTTGGAGGCACGAGAGAATGTCAATCTTCTTAACTCTAAAGAAACGAGCTAATCAGTACCGTGAGACATTGCGGCCGGAGAAGACGAACAAAGCGAAAGGAGAACCCTGACGACGAACGGGACAGCAAGGAGTAGAAGACGACCCAAAGAGAAGAAGTAGAGCGAGACAATGCAAATGTGTGCGAATAAGGAGGGGTTCTTCGGTTTGTTTGTCTGTTTGTAACTAAAAGCGAACAAGGGGACAGTTACCTCACTTGAGCTGCCTCCAACAGGCGGGAAAGCGGCATTAGATAATTTTTTTAAGTTAATTAATTTAATTTTAATTAATATAACTCTCTTTTTTATTACTCTTCCCCTATATTTTTTTTTAAGTGAACAATATTATAATTTGAAATGGAATGCTAAATTGATATTGAATTATTTTTGTTAACAAAGTGATAAACAATGTTTGTTAGTTTCTCCTTATGAAGGACTTGGCGGTCCTTCCATTAATAATCATAATTAAAATACCTCTTAGACCATGCCTCCGTCAATGTGCAAAGAACTAATATGAGCGACAAATTATTAGTGTGTGTGAGATCTGGGTTAAATCTACTATGCATAGCTTGAAAACATGTTCGTTTAGCAATATCAGGTGGTTGCCACAGCTTAGGCTTAAACTATTGAGTTGAAAAATAATTTGATCGAAATTTAACTAACCCTTTGATTTCATCCTCCAAAACATTACCTAGTTTAGAAAAAAAACATTTTTGAATAACTTGGACCATGTTAGCCAACCCTTTCTTTCCTTACATTCATGTTACTTCTAGTTCCTTACCTCATTGATGTTTTTAGTCCACTGAAGAAAGGATTATTCAATATTCAATTAAAATGTTGAATTCAGAATGTTATTTGATATATTTCAAGTAAACCTTGAATTAACATGAACAAGATTAATGATTTTACTTTAAAATGAGTTTAAGAAATGCAAGAAAAAGTAATTGATGGACAACTTACAAGAGGTACAAAATATTTAGAAATTCGATCAGCATACTTCTGCACGGGAGCTTTGGCCATTTGAGCGGATTCAACAAGGCGAACAATTTGTGATAAAGCGCTTTCCGATCCAACATGTGTTGCCCTAACATGCAACACACCATTCTCGTTTACAGTTCCCCCTATCACATTATCCCCCTTCCTCTTCGCAACAGGCCGCGCTTCCCCAGTAATCATACTCTCGTTGACATGACTCTGACCCCATATGACAAAGCCATCACAAGCTATTTTTGCACCAGGCATTACTTTGATCACATCATTATGTTGTATTAACCGACTGCCAATTTCCCTTTCACTAACTATATTTCCATCTTCATCATAAATCATAAGCATTGCAGTTTCTGGTGCCAAGTCCATAAGTTTAGCAATGGCCTCTGATGTTTTGCCTTTTGCTAGAACCTCAAGATACTTCCCAAGTAGAATGAAAGAGATGAGCATAGAACTAGTCTCAAAAAAATCATTTGAGTCAAAATCACGTGAAGTTGCGGCTCTGAGCACAGAGTAAACTGAATAAAAATAAGCCACATTGGTTCCAAGAGCTATCAACACATCCATATTAGGAGATCCATGTCTCAAAGCATTATAAGAACCAACGTAAAACCTTCGACCAATTATGAATTGCACAGGAGTAGATAATATCCACTTCAAAAGCTCTCCGATGCTTAACATATTCACTACCTTCATATCTAGAGCGTTTTTTATGCCTGGAATGTACATAAGCACCATGGAAGTGAGAAACACGGGTACTGTGAATAGCAAGCTCAATAGGAAAGAGT